TGCCATGTAGGCATACAATCTACTTGAAATACAAATCAGCGACATGAGTGGCATCTAAAGTTTTGTTAAAAGGCACGAAATGGACCATCTTGGAGAACTTTTCCACAACAACCATGATAAAATCCTTGTTCCGTTAGGTTCGGGGCAGGCCTAGTACAAAATCCAAACTGACGTCAATCCACGGTCCTTCAGGCACAGGTAATCGATTATATAAGCCCAACTTTTGGTTGTGAGTCTTAGCTATTATGCAAACTCGACAGCATTTTACGATCCTATCAATATCTCGTGCTAGAAGTGGCCAAAAGAAATGCTCTTTGACTAAGGCAAGAGTTTTATCTCTCCCGAAATGGCCTGTGATACCTGCCTCATGGCGTTCACTTATAAGGGCAAGCCTTGTAGAACCTTGCAGAATGCAAAGTTTGTTGCCGAAGAAGAGCTGGTTATGTTGTCTATGATAAAACTGATACATACCATCTTGGCATTTGTTCCAAAGATTTCTGAAATCAGGATCTTGGTGATATAATTCCTTGAGTAAATCAAATCCTGCAACTTTTGCTTGCAAACCATGGACTAAGGCTAGGCGCCGGCTTAACGCATCAGCCACTTGATTACACTTGCCTGACTTATGTTTTAAAACAAAATGAAAGGCACTCAAATATTCCACCCAAGCGACATGTCGAACTTCTAATTTTTTGTTGACTATTAAGGAAATGTAACGCTTCGTTGTCGAAGAACAAAATAAATTCATGTGGTAATAGGTAATGATCCCAATGGTGCAAAGCTTGAAAAATAGCATAAAACTCTTTGTTGTAGAGTGAGTACTTTCTCCGGGCATCACTGAATTTTTTGCTGAAAAAAGCAATGGTATGACCTCTTTGACTAAGAATTGCACCGATCCCTATATTAGATGCATCACAATCTCGCTCAGATACCTCATTAAAATATGGTAGGGTCAGAACCGGGGCCGTGAAAATAGCTTGTTTAAGCTGGTCAAAACTAATTTTTGCAGTTTGAGTCCACTGAAATTTCTTTGTTTTGAGGAGTTTGGTGATGGGGGCTGCTATCGAGCTGAAATTTTTAATGATCCGCCTGTAAAAGGAGGCCAGACCATGGAATTGACGAACTTCCTTAGCTGACTGGGGCGTCGGCCGCTACATAATAGCGTCAATCTTGGTTGGATCTTCTTCGACTCCAGCCAAAGATATGATGAATCCCAAAAAGGCTATCTTATTAGTCATATAGTGGCACTTCAACGGATTAGCAAATAGCTGTTGTTCTCGGAGGATATCAAATACACTTTTCAAATGTATGAGATGAGCATCAACGGTGGGGCTGTATACTAGAAGATCGTCGAAGTAAATAACCACACATTTGTTCATGAGAGGTTGAAAAACTTGATTCATAAGCCGCATAAAAGTGCTGGGGGCGTTTGAGAGGCCAAACAGCATCACGATCCATTCATACAATCCTTCTCCCATTTTGAATGTTGTCTTCCACTCGTCTCCTGGTCGCATACAATTTTGGTGATATCCGCTCCTTAAGTCGATTTTTGAAAATATTGCAGCTCCATGGAGTTGATCGAAGATGTCATCTATTCACGGGATCGAGAATCTATATTTTATCGTAATTTTATTAATGGACCGACTATTTATACACATGCGGAAAGTTCCATGCTTCTTTGGAACCAGTAGAGCGGGGACCGCGTGCGGGCTGGCACTGGGTCGTATAAATCCCTTGGTAATTAATTCGGCAACTTAACGTTGTAACTCTAAATGTTCATTGGGTCGGAGTCGGTATGTAGGGCGGTTGGGGAGGACCGACCCGAGGATAAGTTCTATTGGATGTTGTATGTTCCTCAGAGGTGGCAGTCCTGCAGGCATTTCTTGGACCAGGACATCTTCATACAATTGGAGCAGTGGTTGAAGCACTTCGGGCACGATTTGAAGTGGTTGGTTTTCTTCTACAACAAGTAGGAGTTAGCCTTGCTGTGCTATTCGCAGATCTTGCATAAACAGAGTTCTGTTACACAATGTTGAAGTGGAAGTTTCTCCTTCTTTCGTCACCGGAGAAGGTAATAACACGATTTGCTGGTTATTATGCATGAACGAGTAAGTATTTGTGGTGCAATTGTGTATGGTGCCTTTGTTGAATTGCTATGGCCAGCCTAACAAGAGGTGGCAAGTGTCCATGGGCACAACATCGCATAAGACCCGATCTTTGAAATGACCGATAGAAAAATCAACCAAATATTGTTTGCACACCTGTACTTCCGCATGCTTATGGATCCAAGAAAGGGAATACGACTTCGGATGATCTGTAGTATCGAGGCGTAATTTGTCCACCATGAGCGCTGCTACTACATTCTCGCAACTCTCACTGTCCATGATGACACTACACACTCGATCTTTGATGGTGCATCTAGTCCAGAAGATGCTATGGCGTAGCCAGGAATCTTCTTTATGGATGTTCAAAGCATGCCTTAAGACAAGAAGGTTTGTTTCATCACCCTGCAAGTAGGTGGGTTCAACTGGATTTACATCATCAGATGGCACAATGGCTGGTTCTTCCACTTCTGGTTCTACAATTAACGTTACTACCCGACGATTAGGACAATTAGAGGCTATATGTTCGAACCCCTGACATTTAAAACACTTGCGCACCGGAAGAGACGTTTGAGGCTGGTTTGTACGAAGTGGACCCCGGGGAGGATGTTCTTCTGATGGCCTACTTGAGCTCGTGGCATGCTTGTTCGTTCCGAAATCTTTATCCGTCATGGGATCTGTCATCGGGCTCTTGTTGTTGTACTTCTTGTCCCGCATTCGTTGTTTCTCCACCTTCAAAGCCAAGCTAATCACATCCTGAAATGTCCAGTAGGGTTGTAGTTGTACAATGTTGGCGATGGTAGGGTGTAACCCTCCCAAGAAACGCGCCACTGTGTGCTCTCCGAGTTCGTTCAAATCGCACTTAATAGATAGTTGTTCAAATTCAGCTATATACTCCTCCACGGTCATTTGTTGCTGTTGGAGTTGTGTAAATTTCAGAAACAAATCTTGTTTATATTGCTCGGGGATATATTTACGTTGCATTTCCCTCTTCATTTTAGGCCAAGAAATGATCTTACTTCGCCCCTCATGATTTCTTGTTCTCTTTAGATTTTCACACCAAAGGGAGGCAGCCCGCTTGAGTTTGATCGCCAGCAGTTTGACGATGTGATCAGCAGGTATTTATTTGAATTCAAGAACTCGCTCGACTGTTTGTAACCACCCAATAAACTCATCTGGGTCCATTCGTCCGTTGAACTCAGGAAGTTCGATCTTTATTCCACAATCGAGAGCTAATCTTCGATTATTCTTTCCGAGCGCCCTTCTTTTGGTTTCATCTTTGCTGGAGCTTTCCTGGTGAAAAGGGTTCATGTCTTCCTCCTCGTTTGGATGAATCGATGGTTCTCTCTGTTCACACCGAGCTAAACGTTGTTGCAGTTGGGCTATCTCACGTTGTAGGTCTTCGATCATGACTTCTTACACCAGTATTTGGACGTTCCGATGTGGCGGCATCTTGCTGGCTCTGATACCACTTGACACTGGACTCTCAAGAACAAGTCGTGGCGGCTGGACAGAACTTCGAAACAGGGGAAAAGACACAATTGTTCTTCACGTGGACGCGGACAACTGCTTTGTCCGCCGAGACCTCGAGGGCCAAGAACAAAACACGGATCACCACCACCTGAAGAATTCAGGATACAGAAAGCAATGCCGGAATCACCACCTAACTCTCGTCAGGATACAGGAGCTTGAACAAAAGGAAATTAATTCCAAAGATAAAACCACATCCTTTATTAACCAATGACCAAATGTATTTATACACAAATAGGGGTATACCAAAGGCTATACAGGATAAAGAAAATAAAAACAAGAAAAGCAACAACTGAAGTTGAATAATTGGTCCAGGTGAAGCGTGCGTATAGCTCCGGCGTCAATAACAAATCAGAAAATGAAGAAAAGTTTTGAAGTTTCTTATAAGTTTCAACTAATATAAGGATCATATTCAAACCCCGTCATTAGCTATGTCATGAGTCGTTATGTATTCCAGAAAAAAAAAAGGATATGGTGTCCACTTTCAAATTGTTTATGCCAAATGCTTTATAAGTAATGTTCCTATATATGTTAGAATATGATAGTAAATGGCCAACTAATTGGAGCTCAAAGTCTACAATCATCATACAAAATGCATGTTTGTTATGTTGCATCATTTTTTATTTAAAAAAAAAAATTGAATTAGTGTAATTAGCGGGGGACTGTATTTGTCTTTTTACAAATTTTCCACTATTATATTTAAATATCAAAATTTGTAGTCCATCATGGCGTGTAATCAGTTTTAAATGTGCTCACAAAAATAATATCATTTATTGTGATTGAAGCTGCTAGCCTGTTTTGTGTACGAGATGGACTGTAAGATGCAATCTTTGGATTATGCTTTATTTAAGGCCCATTAGTAGATATGCTGATAATCATAAAGTGAAATAAAATTACTGAAAATGAGAATAATGCTGAACACAAGTGGATTTGAAATGAACTCATAGCAAACATAGTAGCTCACCTACGATATTTATTGATTTAGAGAAATCAAATGCAAATATATAGATGTTAATTTTAACTTAGTCACACATATTTTTATTAATCATATTTATAAAATATGACTAAAATTTTTTAAATTAAAACTAAAATTGTTATTAATTTTTTTATTAAAAAATGTTTAATAAATTTTTAAGAAAAATTGCAATTACTTGAAAATTATATTTAATAAATTTTTAATTAAAAATGAACAAAATACCCTTACATTTAATATCATTAACTCTAACATTGAATGTTAGGACCAAAAAGATCTCATTTTAATGAATTGAGGGGCCAATTTGATCCCTCAAAAGAGTTTGGGACCATTTTGATCCCTTATAAAAAGTTGAGGAACCATTTTAATCATTTTCTTTATTTTGCAATAACTTTTGCATTAATATATCTCTTTTATGATTTATTATATATTACTCATTTCAGGTCTTTTCAACCAAGAAGGTAGGCTATTGGGCTCCTCAAGCAGTCCGATACAAATATGGAAGGAAGGAGACTGCATTGAGGTAGAAAAGCCTTACCATTATTAAATGCTTTCTGTTGAAGCTGCTAATTCTGAGATGCATTATTACTGATGGTTGATATTTGTTTTTCTAACCAGCAATCATCTACAGATATCTGGCATGCTGTATGTGCAGCTGTTAAAACAGCTTGCTCTTCAGCAGATGTTACAGCTGAGGAAGTTGTTGGTTTAGGATTTGCAGCAACTTGCTCTCTTGGTTATCATCTTTACGCTCAATTTATTCTCAGATTTATGCTTGGTTTTACTTGAATAGTAGTATGATATGTAATTTTTGTCATTAAGTTAATCGTGGGATCGTATGCAGTTGCTGTTGATGCAGATGGATCTCCAGTTTCAGTTTCATTTAGTGGGGATGAACGAAGAAATATCATTGTATGGATGGATCATAGGGCTGTAAAACAAGCTGAAAGAATAAATTCACGGAGCTCACCAGTTTTACAGTATTGTGGAGGGTCTGTCTCTCCTGAAATGCAAGCCCCCAAGGTGCACCCTAATTTGAAGATTCTTATCATAAAATTCCCCAGAAAATTTGAATGCTTTTTCAAATTCAATGTCAATATCTTAGGTTACTTATTTTATTTTTTCGATTCCGAAGCAAATGTTAGGAACCCAATTCAATGTTTTGCTAAATTAAATACCACCTTTCTTGATCATATAATTTTTTCTTTATCTTTTGCTATATATTACATTGCTTAAGCAGTTAACAAGGTCACGTTGTTGTTAGAGGAACCATCTTTTGTGTTATTGCCAGACTATTGGCACCTTTATATTGGCATAAAAGAAGAATATAAGAGAGAAAGGCCTTCATTATTATATGCAAATTGATGCCAAAGAAGTATTTTGAACGTCACAAATCTTTAGTAATAAATGTATTCTATAGATGATATTTTGTTTCAGTAATGTCTGGAGTATCACTTTCAGTCAATATAAAGTCATTAACATACACAACAAAAATCACTATGCCCAATGAAAAATTGCTGAATAAAGATAGAGTGATCAATAGGACTACTTTGTAGTTCAATATTAACAAGAAATTTGTAGATTTTGATGAATCAAGTATAATAACTTTGGTTTAATCAATATATTACTTTCCATAACTTGCCTATTTTATTCTCTCTTAAGCAACATGTCCTAGAAGTTGGTCCACACAATAGCTTCAATAAGATATTGTAGAGAAAGGCTGAGCATATGCTTATATTGACTAATGGTTGTAGGGATAAGAATTCAAACAAAATTTAGTCATCCAACAATTGGGGGAAAAATCTCTCAAAGTAATGAATAGAATGGATATATGTATAACTTGTTGCCACAAATCGAGCCTTATAGCGATTAATAAAACCACTAGGACAAAGCTTAATCGTGAAGACCCACCATCAAGAAATGGGCTTAACCCCATGAAGAAAATGTAACTAAATCCTTGGTATGATTATTGAGAAAATTAACAATTTTGTTATCCATGACATACTTGCAATTAGGGTTAAGCAAGGCCTCATAATATTTCCTGCAAATAGAGATGGTAGAAAAAGACATGAATCAATAAAAAAGGAAGGAGATAGATTATCCACATGTTCTGATCTAATCCGATTCAAGGTAATCCACTAAATTTTTGCATTTGAATCTTTCTGCATGTGTCTGGGAATGTTTTGGTATTCATGTGAAAATCTGCATGTGTTTTGAAATAGGTCCCGAGGGACTGTTTGCATGATTTGAAATTCTAAAAATTTTCCCTACGGTGTCGTAGCTCTGAGCTCTTTGAAATTTTGCAAATTAATTCAGTGCGATGACACTGGGGGTTGCACAGTGATGTTGGGGGCTTCTTAAGGGAGTGTTGCAACACGCAAGATCGAGCTTCGTGACGCTGCGTCTTGATTTTTAAATAAAAATATCATTTTCCACTAAATCAATTCATTTCAACTAATTAAGGTAGCTGGATAGAGAGAGAGAGATGAGGAATCCTAGAGAGAGAAATTCAATTTTTGGTGATTTCAGTACGTTTTCAACTGTTGGCCCAGTTTTGAATGTTGTTCGTTCAAGATAGGTTGCATTTTGTCTATCTAAATTTTCAAAAAAAAAAAAAGAAATATTTTTATTTAATTTAAAATTTCGTTAGCGAAAAACTAGGATAACTTGATATCTGTAAAGTTTTTACCGTATAACTTTCTATATGTTATAGAGACGATTCTGAAAATTATACATCAGAGATTTTATATAATGCGCCATTTTAATCGTGTGTAAAATAACTCTGACCTCAAAAAATAATGCTATTTTACAATTAAAGCTTCATAACACTGCTCTGAATAGTCTCTAGTGATTTGATTACATTCTGAAACAGTGAATATCTGCTCAGTAGTACATGCCATTATCTATAGTTAAAGTATTATGTTAAATTTTGAAATGACTTATTTATTTTTCACTGCAATGCAATGAATTATATGTTTATTTGCTTGAAATGTATGATTGTGAGAAGATTTAGTGACTGTGAATGAAGTTTAGTTCTAGTGCTAAACGCACATTATGGTCTCAAAGGCATAGTCTGATGTTATATGCACATTCTGTTTTGGTGCTATATGCACATTATGTTCTAATGCTATATGCACATTCTGTTCAGGTGCTGGGCATTATAGTCTTGAGGGTTTGTTTTTTTATTTATCAACACGGGAGTCATAAGGGATAAAATTTTCTAAATTCTATTCTGATGGGAGGTATAAGGGCCTAAGAAAAATCTGTTATTTTTTGCTCTGATATGTGATGTACGTGTTTATTAATTTTCAGTGGGCAGTCTATTTTAATTCATATATCTGAAAGTAATATCATGCTCAGTTTATTACATTTCTTATAAACTACTTTTAAATTCAATTAAATGTATAATAAATGAATGATTTAGCAACTTAGATCAATGAGTGTGGCCTGCTGAGCTGTGTTGGCTCATAGTTTATTTACTATGTTTCAGAGTCTGGGAAAGGGAAGGAACCAATTGAGTAGTTGAGTCACATCTGATCTATTTTAGTCTGTATGTGTTTTTTTTTTTATTTTTGTACAATCATGACTAATTATTTAAATTGATATATTATGTATTTCAGTAGTCATGTACTATAGCGTAAGCATTGTATATACATTTTGATGAGAAATGAAAAAAAAATGGATGAGTTACTTTTTGTTTACTGGAAGTTATTAGCAACTATGTATTATGTTATTTGTTTAAGTTCTATTGAAAAAAGAAAATCGGAAAAGTTTGCCAAAAATTCGATCTTGGATTGGCTATTGCAAGCCAACAGGATATGACTTGTTCTGTCTGTGGGTCTTAACGGGTTGGGTTGTTACATGTAACATTGTCACTTCTTTTGTTAGTATTTTTTTTTTCATTTGTTTTTGTTTTTTGATTCGTCAAATTCAAATACTGGAATAGAATGCTCTTCCTATATTCAGTTTCCTATTTTCTCATTTGTCTTTATGAAGTGAAAGGCCTCTCTCTCTCTCTTTTGTTTTGTAGATGCTTGTTAAACATGGTTATTTTATTTTGTTGCCCCCATTTGGTCCTTATGATTTACAGGAGACCCATAAAAAGTAGGCTGCCACTCAATTAGGACTGTTGTCACAACTGACAAGTGGAGCCTATAGATCCTGTAGCTCCCAATTTTCATTGCAGTCTAAGTTCCTTTTAATTTTTTTGTCAGTGGTCCCATGATTTTTGTTCTGATACGACTTATTTTTGGACAACTGTAGTACTGAACCAAGATTAATTTATTATTCCTTCTTCTTGTACAATCTTTAGATTTTAGCGTTTTACTTGTTTATAATGGCAATCTGCTATAAAAAAGAGATGACTGGATGATATTGATCTATAGGCTGTATATTTAGCTCTTATATTACCACTGATGGATTTTTTAAATCCAAAATGTAGCTTTTATGGGTAAAAGAAAACTTGAAAGAGTCCTGGTCCGTGGCCTTCAGGTGGATGGATTTAAGCGACTGGCTGGCATATAGGTAGTTTAGCTGTAGCTGCTACGAATTTTTTTATTTATTTCAGGGTTATTAATTTTAAGTGTGTTGGAATATGTTCTTTAACTAAATTATCTTTTCTTGCGTTTATCATATCCTGCAAAATCCAAGAGCAACAGGTGATGATACTCGGAGTTTATGTACAACTTCTTGCAAATGGACTTACCTTGGACATGCACACATGCAGTCTGTCAATGAGAAAGATTCTCGTAACATGGAAGCCTGCGGATGGGATGATGATTTTTGGGAGGAAATTGGTTTGGGAGATGTTGTCGAAGGAAATCATGCAAAAATTGGTATATTACAAACATCTTTATATTGAAGGTTATAGTCATCTATGAGTTGTCTTGTATTTTTAAGTTGCTGACAACCACTGAAAGTGATTATATGAAATAACGTAAATAAAATGTCACGAATGACTTCATTTACTAATATTGGAATATGCTTATCACATTTTGCTGTTGCATTATCCATATAGTAGGGTATAAAAAATGGTGGACAGATCCATGAGTAAGAAGAAAAAAGAAGTTTGGTTGAAGATATTCAAAACACCTTTCATATTTCATTTTGAAAATAGGATATCATATGTTGTTCCACCGTGATTATTTTTCACTTAGTGAAGGAAGGATTTTACTCTAAGTGGGAAGGATGGGATTGGGGTAAAAGAATGCGGGTAAATCTCTTTGACTAATGAATGAGTTTAGTTGTAGGAAGGATAACATTGAAGTGAAATGCGAACAAGAGCTTTAAGTATAGTTCGGTTAGATAAGCACATGTGTGAGGGGTAGAATGTATGTGCTTTGGTGGGTGGGGGATGATGGTGTTGATCACTTTTATTTTGTAGACACTTTGATGAGTGGGTTATGATGGTGTTGGTATTTGTAAGCAAGGTTTAAAATTGCGTATTTGGGTATTGAGACGTTTTTCGTTCATGAGGCGAGGTGTAAGCCTCAAGGTTTTTTGAGGCGTAAGCCTCAAAATCTAAAAATTGCGTAAAGTAAAAAGTAGAAGTTAAAATTGATTTTTATATAATACCCAAATAATTGCTAAGAATGATATATTAACTTTCTATTGAACTATGAAGTAACAAATTTTTATACATATGAAACAAAAAATTACACAAAATGTAAAGTGATAAGTAATAAATTATATGAAATGTAATTGAAATCTAAATATCACATGAGAAAAATAACATAAAATATATGAATTGCATAAGCGTATCATATAGCATCAAGTTTAGCTCTAAATTTTTTCTTTCTCAGTTCCTTACTCATCTACATTTAATTACTAATAAAGGTAAAATAATTGACAACAAATCAAAAATCATTTGTACTATCATTACTAAGAGAATTTTTATTTGAGCCGTCATAACAAATTGGCCTCTCCTTTGCCTCATCATGTAGGGTCTAATACTTACCAATATGTTTCTTTATTTATTTCAACAATATTGCTCTTTCATATATGTTTTTCATCAACATAAAATAAGAGAAATACTTAAATGTTTATGGGACATGGCGGCGGTATGCGGATTTCAAGTGATCCCCGACAGCGGCTATGATCGTGGTGGCTACGACGAAGGCGGTGGAATGGAGGTTGAGGCAGTTGAGAGGAAGTTAATGCGGCTTTGGAGCACAAGGGCATGATTATTTTGGGGCTTTTGTATGGAATTTAGCTAAGTTTTAAATAAAAAACATGCATAAATAGAGTGAGGCGTATGCCTCATGCCAACGAGGCGAGGCAGGCCTCAGCCAAGATGAGGAGTAAGCCTCATAAAAAAGGTTCGAGGCGTAAGCCTTGAGGCGTTTTTCACTGAAATTGTGCTGAGGCGGTCCTCAAGGCGAGCCTCATATTGTGCAATTTTAAACAATGTTTGTAAGTGGAGCTTCAAATATTAACATAGAGTGGGCTAGGGGTGTAAACGAGTTGGGCCGAGCTCGAGTCATGCCCAAGTCGAGCTCGACTCGTTAGTTAAATCGCGAGCTCGATCTCAAAGGGTGTGCTCGAGCTTGGCTTGTGGTAATAGAGGTGGACTCGCAAGGTCGCTAAAAAATGCAGAAGGGCTGGTGATCGCTCCTGAAGAAGAAGAAGAAGTGGGTTACTTTGTTGCAGAAGAAGAAGCGGGTCGCTTTGCTACCAAAGAAGAAGAAGAAGTGGATTGCTTTGTTGCAGCTTTTTCTCTTAAGATGATTTGAATGAGAGTTTCTAGAGAAATTAAAGAGCTGTAACATGTTACAACTTTATTTACTCGTTGAATATTGTAACTTTAATTATTAAAGCTTTTTTTTTGTAAATGATGAAAAGAATATATTTTTTAAATTACTAACATTTATTACGAGTCAACTCATGAGCTCACGAGTCGAGCCTAGTCAAGCTCGAACTCGAGCTCGTTTAAGCTCAAGCTCAAATTAAAAGCTCGATAAGCTCGACTTGTGAGCTCGTTACCAAGTTGAGTTCAAGCTGACTCACGAGTCAGCTCAGCTTATTTACACCCCTAGAGTGGGCACACATATGGGCAGATTTAGGGGTGAGAGGGGCCTATGGGGGCACAGGAGTCCCATATATATATATATATA